AACAACATCATTGGTGGTGTAGTAGTTACGAGTTGAGTTGCTAACTTCAAGGTCAGCAGTTCGAAACTATCAACCATTCCACAGGAGAAAGATGAGACTTTCTTCTGCCATAAAGATTTACAGAAACCCCGTTCAGGGTCGCTATGAGTCGGAACCGACACCACAGCACAACCATCATCACCACCATCATTAGTATCCATTGTTTTCATATGAAGCAAGTAACTACTGAAGGCAGAACTGGTAGTGTTTTTGTTGTAGTTGCCATTGAGTCTGTTCTGCTTTATTGCCACTCTCTATACCACAGTAGCGTAGTGGTTATGAATCGGGCTGCGAACCTTAAGGTCAGCGGTTCGAAACTACCAGCTGCACCGCGGGAGAAAGATGAGGCTTTCTACTCCTGTAAAGATTTACACCCTTGGAAACCCTATACAGGGTCACTATGGGTCGGAACCGACTCGATGGCACATAACAACAACAATACCACAGACAGAAGCACTTCCAGGCCTTTTGCCATGCTTACGCTCGACCACTGCTATGTTGGAGCCCATCACTGCAGTCATCATCTCATTAAGAGTCTTCTTTTTTCTCTTTGTTGTTAAGTGCCGTTGAGTCAGCTCCAGCTCATAGTGACCCTGTATGGAGTTTACAACAAGCAGCTGGTGGGTTTGAACTGCCTACCTTGTGGTTTGCAGTCCTTTGCTGATCCTATAGCGCCACACCAGCTGACTAAATTCTCTCTACTATACAGTAAAGGGAGAAAGAACTGTGTTGTTGAAGTATTAGATTTCTACTGAAAGAAAGACACTGAGAGAGGGGCCTCGTTTCACATACTATAACTCACATTTTGCATAATATGACATTGTCATCATTCTTTGGTACATAGGTTATTGTGTCAAAGAAGAACAACTACTGTCTAAATAGAAATCGCATTTTCTTAGGAGGCTCCACTCATACAGTCTTACCTTTCTCTTTCACATCCCTGCTAATAAAGATAAGGCTAAGGGGATTTATGTTTACAAAGAGAATATAGTATGAGAATATGAATATTGTTAATATTGGGTTATATATAAAAAGTTATATACAAAAAATCCTGGTGTGGCACTGTGGATTAATACACTAGACTGCAAAGTTGGTTTGAACCTCAAGGTCACTAGCTGCTCCTCGGAAACCCTATCCAGGGTTGCTATGGGTCAGAACTGACTTGACAGCACTAACAACAACATATAAAAAGTAGCATCTGTTCAATGCAAAATGGGACCAGTTCTGGATCTCCATAACTTTTAAAACAATGTTTCTTTTCTTTCTTCTTTTTTTGTTCTTTTCCCCTATAGCATAAAAAAGAAAGCATACCTTCTGAGGATAACCTCAGAGGCTAGTACTTCTGTTTCCGGAAAGAATGACAATCCAGGTCTAGGGGATGTTGGTGGTTTTGATGAAGATTCAATCCTGGTCACAATTCCAGGGAACCAGGTGTGGATAACCTGTTAGCCACTCTCCCCAGTAAGCTCTTTACTCAAACTATCTCCAGGTGGATGGTGTTTACTTTATTTACTCACCTCTTGTCTCTGGAGCTATCCATCCTAGACAACCTCCCTTTACTGTGTTGGAGAGGGAGCTGTGTCTCTAGAGAGCAGATAACCTCAGAGGCTAGTGCTTCTGTTTCTACTGGAAGGCAATTAATTTGATACCATTTTCTAAACATCCCCATGCAAGCACATGCACACATGCCTTTTTGTTTTAAGTGTGTCTATAACAAAAGAACAAATGAACTTTTTGGAGTGAGATTGCACTCCAATTCTACACATAATGTACTTGCAAAGCTGATAAAGGTCATTTGCCCTCTTTTAGTTAAATATGGTATTAAAATTGTCAGTGTTATTGATAGCATATTAATACATTTATTTAAAATTTTTTTATTGTTAAATGAGTGGTTTACAGCATAGATCATCAGTTTTGCATTCAACTATCTATGAGGCAAAACTGACTCCATGGCACATAACAACAACAACAACAATCATATATTTTGCTTTACTACAATAATTGCAATTCCCTCTATGTGTCAACAGTTGAACAGTATTTATCTCTATTCACATTAACTATTTCATTCATCCCTGTGTCTCTCACTACCTTCATTTTTGAGGTCTGGTAGCATAGTGGTTATGAAT